AGATGCACGTTTTCTTTTTGTACTTTTGCTCTTCATACCACCGAATATCTGTTGTACATAAAAAGGTGTGTCATACATTTGTGAAACATTGTGCAGTTTTTGTTACGTGTTGATAATCTGGCTCTCTTATTTCTATTTTATCGCTACATTGCAACTGCTGTTGTGCTGGTACAGTCTTTTTAATTTTATATGTACAAGTACACAATGGAGGAAAATAATACTCTTCGACAATTAGCTCCCCGACAATTGACTCCCCCCCCCCCGCCCAACAATTGACCCCATGTTATGGACAATTGTGAGGGGGTCAATTGTTGCCCACCCAGTCAAGCTGTGTCTAAAACTGCACCTTTGCTTACAGAACTAGAAAAGAGTTTGAAAAAGGTTGTACACAATACTGTAGTAGGGTCGTAGTAAAAATGTGCTCGTTTTTGGTTTGAAGGAGACTGATGAAGAGAAACTGCGATAAAGTTGACTTAATTTTTCGGCAGATTGAAGAAAACCACGTCTTGAAGCTGTCCGGGTTGAAAGGAAATCAGCCGATAAGACGAAACCTGTCAAAGTTTCCCTTTTTTTTATTGTGTAGAAGTCCAGCAATGGAATATATAGATATTATATATATTATATGCATTTTGTATTTTCTCACCTCTACCACTCATTTGGGAATTCCACCCACCATAATTTGAATTGCTGAGTTACATAAATTTCTAAATTTCTTTTATTCGATTGATTGATGGATTGATATTTTTAATAAATTTACTAACGTGTCTTTATATCAGGATGACTGTAAAGGTACATTTTACCGACATTTGAAGTCAAGGCGTTGTTTTACTGATAGTTGTGGCTGACTAATAATATATATAATATATATATATAACATATATATAATATATACAACGGTTTTTCTTTCTCCTTTTAGCAAAGTGTTCAACGAAAGAATAAGATCTATTTATAAGCGTAACAAAGAAAAACGGTGTTTTCGTCAAACTAAAAGTTTCATGGATGTGTGAACATGATTACAATTAAAATGGCAAACATCATACAACACTTTGCTCCTTTATCAAACTCTTACAATTATTAATTCACTCAATACTCCTTAAACCTCCAACAAACAACAATTTTAAATTCCTATTATCAATAAATTCTAACCAGTACCTCTGGCCAGTGTGGTACTCCATCTTACTGGCCAGCTTCTTAACCAGTTTTTCAGCTTCACCACCCATTCCACCAGAAGTCGAGAAAACTAAAGGTGTGAAGCTTCCTTTCTCCACTTCAAGAACCCTTGCGTTTTAACATCGCTTTTTCTCATTTTCATGGGACTGGTACATTACTGGGATCGATTTGCTTGCATTGGAGGGGGCTGGGCATGAAATACCCTTACATCAAAAAATGCCCTCTCTGAAGCATTCCAAATCGATCTTGCAGAAATGTCCAGCCTAGCTTGGTCTCCTAGGACTGTTCCCTTTGGTAACTGTAGACCATCAACTGGAAGAAGAACCGGCTCAGTCTGCACATCCCATTTCACAGTTTTCATTAGTTCTGCAAAGGTGTCTCTCAGTGAGTTGTGTCGCAGTGACACATATCCACCGAGTTTGCAGATGAGCGCATGGTTTGCTGAGTATTTCTGGCCACACGTACATGTCTTAGGGCAGTCCTTTAAGTTCAGGTTGTATCTGAGAGCTATTGCGTCTGAGAACTGTTGTCTATTCATCAGATATCCATACTCTTTTAAAGGTAGTGCTGTTAACTTGCCCCTTTCTCAGCAGCTAGTTGGAACATCAACTTTGCCAGTGATGTTGACTCGAGCTCCTGGCATATTTCTGCTTGTTTTTGTCGATAGAAGAGATTTCGTTCAGTCGTTATCTCAGTTTTCACTCCTTTGCTATGTCTCCAGTCTTCTGTGTAGTTGTCTACCTGCTTGAGAATAGCTTCTTTAAGGGGTTTTGTGGCTTTACATGAGAATTTGTACTCTCGGTCTGCCATGTCCATCATAACTGGTATACCTAATCCTCCATATCTTGGTGGTAGAGCCATTATGTTCCTTAGTTCATCAGTGCAGCTAAACAGCCTGTTGATGATAGCTGGGATAAACTCATCGCGTGTTACTTGTTCCAGAGGATTAAGCCTTGTTCCAGAGGATTAAGCCTATCTAACTCGAGTAACGTGGGCACATTTCGATGTATTTCATTCGACATTCACTGCCCAAAGTATTTTGAAACGAAAGGTCATGTAAGCCGCGCATATATTTTAAAATTTACGCTTTGAAGCGTAAAGCAAATTAATACTTTTACAGCAATAAGAAATTAAAACAATATACAAATAAAATAGCTATGACCATAAATAAAAATTGAATGTACGGTACAAAAATGTAATAACAATCTTACAAAATTTTATAAAAACCCGAATTTCATAAAAAAATGACCAGAATATTTTGTATTTACTATATTATTGAGATTTTTTTACTATATTATTGAAATTTTAATTTCTGAATATAAGAAATAAAAGTTGGTTATGTCATGCTTTCGCCCAATGTAACCTTTATCAGGCGTTGTTATATTGTATATATTGCTGTTTATGCATACATTGGAGGACTTCGCCGCTTCGACGCGCCGCGCGAACTAGCATTCTTGCTTCGCATCGTCGATCGTTGCTCTGCTTCGCAGAGCAACGATCTCGATGGGTTGACATCGTCAACCAAATGCATACATTGTATCACGTGGTGACCCCCACGGTCGCTTCACTATAGTAGGAACCGCACTTCGTGCGCGGCGGGTCATACAACGTATGACAATGCATACATTGTTTGCGATAAGTTATTTGTACCCATTTTCAGATTTTTGGACTAGCAAAAGTTTTGTCATACGTTGTATAACCCGCCGCGCACGAGTGTGTGGGCTCCCCCTGTATCGTTGAAACTCTTTAGGGGTTATAGTGAAGCGACTTTTGTCACCACGTGATACAACAAAAGTTAGGTCAGATTGCAATTGAACTTGTTATTGCATATTAATAAATAAAGATATCCAGATCTGATGGTTCATGGGAATGCTTTAATTATCATAAAAGGAGAAATCACGAGGAATTAATTTTAGTAGTATAGATATTATATTTTAGGGGGGATCATTTTCATTTTCTTGTTTAAACAATTTAACTTTTCTCCATTGAAAAACATATTTTCCCCAATTTTAATACTACCAAGAACATGCAGTACGTTTGCCCACCATCTGCTAAATACTTTGAGAACACCTACAGGGAACCAACAGACCTCTATGTAGCTAATAGCAAGGAATACAAATTTTTTAAGGAATACAAATTTGAATTTTGATCTTTATTACAGATTAAACATATCATATATAACCATAAAAGCCGCGCGTCGGCTGATTGCCTCAACTTGGATTAGTAGTAAGGGAGTGATCATCATATCAAGAGCAGTGAAGGTTTCACTCAAGGAGACAATATTGCCACTGGTGGATATGCTCTAAGCACCAAGCCACTTATTGACCGCCTGCGAAACATCATCAAGCAAGTGTGGTTTGCAGATGATAGTGCTGCTGGAGGACAACTGGAAGCAGTGTATAAGTGGTGGAGAGAGTTGCTCCAAGTAGGACCCAAGTACGGTTATTTTCCTAATCAATCTAAGAGCATTCTAAGTAGTATAGTAAAGGACCCTCAGATGATTGACCAGGCCAAGGCATTGTTTGGTCAGAAGGCCATTTCAGTCTGTCAAGGATATATAGAAATGAGTTTAGAAGATTGTTTTTGTAAAACAAGCTCATGACTAGAACCTCAGTTTCTCTGCTAGTATAATGAGGGAACTTCAGTGAGGTGGTAGACACCATGGGAATTTGAGACCAGCCCTCCATTTGTAACTGGTTCTTAATAGATTTCTTTGTCCTTTGAACAAACTTCCATCTGTGTTGGATGCCAGAGATGTAGGCTGAGTAGGCTGCTTGAGGCTCAGATTCTGCAATATTAGCTAGCATCTTGATGTCGTCACACCACCCTTGGACCTTATCAGCAATTTACTGATTTTTGACACCTGTACTGCCAAGTACTGCTCCAAGATGCCTTGTACCTGGTGTTATTTGCATATTGAACTCTCCAAATTGAAAGCTAGCAACCTTTCGCCATTTTCGTTACGCCGACCAATACCATGTCTTCTCATGTTAGTTTGAAGACCACTTTCAAAATCTGATTTAGTCCGTTTCCCTAGCCTAGCATTAAAATCGCCCATGATGAAAAGTTCATGTCTGGCAGAAATTCTAATAGCTTCCTGGAGCTCACAGTAAAACTCATCAGCAATGCGTGGGTTCTGTATAGATTTGACATTAGTTGGACTGTAGCAGTTTATAATACGGGCTGTCGGTGATGGTTTCCCATGACACTTTGATGGTAGAGAAAGGTCCATGTATGCTACTCTGTCACTGATTTGATGGTACGAGACAACATTTGATACAAATTTACTGTTGATAATTATTATGTTGTTATTCAGTTAAACAATTAGTTAACCAGGGACATCCTGTAAAAGTAAAAGATTATAATATGAATACATAACATTTCCCTCTTTTAATTACAGGATCGTACGTTAGTGCCGCGCATGCAAGTGCTGGCGCAAAACTATTCTTTATTCAAATTATCGTTCAAAATTGATCCTCATTGAGCCGCGCACTAGATAAAACGTGCTTCGGTCAGGTAAACATTTCACTGTCAAAATAGTGACTTTAAAATACAATATCTGTAGCTTTACTCTGTTAAAACAATTCGTATAAAATATAAATCTTTATTCGCTCATTGTGCGGTATGAAAATCAAAACAATACAGAATTCTCTGTCTCCGAAATATATTAATAAATTAAAATATGATACTGTACGTGTATTATTTAAACGTAGTTAGTTTTACCGAGCTTGTCATAAGTAAGGCGTAAAGGTGCTCTCCTATCTCTTACTGGTCGATCAAAACTAGGTGTAATATTCAAGTTAGATCTTGGTGTGCTCGTGCTTGGTTCATTATGCGTTGGTGTAGTGACAATAGGGATCAGTAATACTGGGTTCAGCAATATTAGGTGAAATGCTCAAATCAGTAGGCGGTGCAATTTGAACATTCTCATTCAAGTCACGTTCATACCTAACTAACGGTTCTCTCCTATCCTGCTCGGTGTCAATAACATCTTCTCTCGCATCAGATGGATAAAATGACACGATGTGATCAATGTGACGTGTACAGGTAGATCCGTTTTCCATGGTAATGGAGTAATGTACGTCTGATACACTGCGAATAACTCCTCTCTTCCACTTATTATTGATCAGATCTCGGTACAATATCTGATCTCCCACTTTAAATCGTCTCAGTTTCGTGTCTTGTTTTACTCTTTCCATCTCTTCTTTAGCAGATTTAGCGTTCTCTCTGGAATCGGTGAACGGATGAAGTAAGCTAAGAGCTGATCGGGTTCTCCTTCCGATCATTCGAACAGCAGGTTCCACTTGTGTTGTCGTGTGTGGAGTGTTGTGATACATCATTAACCAGTTCTGTAGGTTTAACATGGTATCTGAGTTGTTCTGTTTCATTCTTTTCATAGCGTTCTTAAATTTTCCCACAGCGTTTTCTGCTAACCCATTACTAGCTGGATGATAAGGTGGTGTTGTAACGTGTGTTACTCCGTTCATCTTCATGAACTGTTTCATTTCAGCAGATATGAATTGCGGTCCGTTGTCGCTAACAATAACTAGACACACACCCCATCGGCAGAAAATCTCTGTCAGTGCTTTAATAGTATCACTAGTCTTTGTATTTCCCACAGGTAATCTGTTTACTTCAATCCACTTGGAGTACGAGTCCACAACAATGAGCCACATATGATTCAGGAAAGGTCCTGCGAAATCAATATGTACACGTTCCCATGGTCCTGATGGTTCCTTCCAAGGATGTGGAGTCGTCTTAGCTGGTTTTCTCTGGTTGATCTGACATGATACACAGTGTCGGATCATGTTATCTATAGCAAGATCCATCTTTGGCCACCATACGTAGTTTCTCGCTAGAGCTTTGGTACTACCCATTCCCATATGAGTATGATGTAATAACTTTACGACTTCATCTCTTAAACTCGTTGGAATGATGACACGATGTCCCCACAATAGACATCCTTTCTCAATACTCAGTTCGTCTCTTCTTGTATAGTAGGCTGAATCAGTCGCATTTTCTGGCACTGATTCAACTTTCTCTTTCCACTTGTTCCAACCTTCTTTAATACAGTACATCACGTTTGCGATCACGTGGTCTTTGGCTGAATGTTGAGCGATCAACTGGCTGTTTAACAACGGTTTTTCTTGATCCATGTACGTTGCAAACACAGTTGTTGGTTCTGGTTCTAGATCTTCTTTCTCTGCAGGTAACGGATATCTGGAACAAAAGTCTGCGTTACAGTGTTTCTCTGTAGGTCTGAACTTTATGGTATAGTCGTAGTGACTCAGAGTGAGAGCCCATCGAATGATCCTCGATGTCCCCATCTCAGGTATTTGCTTCTTACTGTCCAACAGTATTTCTAACGGCTTGTGGTCTACATATAATTGGAAGTTTCTCGCGAAGAGATACTTGTGGAATCTTTTAACTGACCAAACAATTGCCAACGCCTCTTTCTCTATTTGTGAATAGTTCCTTTCAGCTGAAGTAAGCGTCCGAGAAATAAACTCAACAGGTCTATCTCCATTAGTCGGGTCTGGGTGTGACAGTACCGCTCCCAATCCAAATGGTGATGCGTCGCAATCTAATCTCAAAGGTTTGTCTGGGTCATAGAATGTTAGAACTCTGTCTGAAGCTAGATACTTCTTCAACTTGTCAAAAGCTGCTTTCTCTTCTGATCCAAATCTCCAGTCTTTGCTCGTTCTCAGTCTGTTCAGTGATTCTATCATCGTAGATAGATCTGGTATGAACCTACCGTAATACTGTACGGCTCCGAGAAATGACTTCAACTTCGATAAATCCTCAGGATACGGTGCTTTAACTAGTGTCTCCACTTTACTCTTACACAAAATTCCGATTTTTCCCAATTACAGCGGAATCCCTCGTCTTCTAGTCTTTGGATAACCTCCAAAACTCTCTCTACGTGGTCGTCAAACTCGTTGCCCTTGATGAGAATATCATCAACTCTACATGTGACTCCTTTCAGTCCTTTCAAGACTTCATCCATAGCTGCCTGGAAAATCCCTCCAGCAGGCGCTAGTCCGTACGATAACACAGTCCACTTATAGAGTCCTTGATGTGTGTTAATCGTCGTTAAAATCTGGTCACACTCTCTAAGCATGATCTGGTTGTAAGCTTGCTTGATGTCCAATCGAGTGAAGATTCTTCCTCCCTTCATCTCAACAAAACAATCTTCAACTACAGGCAAGGGGTATACTTTAGAATCGATTTCCGGGTTGAGAGTCCCCTTATAGTCTCCACAAATACGAATAGTGTTATCTTTCTTGACTATAGGTACTATGGGCGAAGCATAATCCGAAGTGTCGATCTTTACCAATCGACTATCTTTCTCCATATTATCTAGAGTCAGACCTACTCGTTCCTTCAACGAGTACGGAATCTTCCGAGCAGCACAAAACTTTGGACGGTGCTCAGGTTTCAGATTTAACTTAGCTTCAAACTTCTTGACTTGCCCTATTCCAGTTTTAAACGTCTCTCGGTTCTTCAGTGATTCTATGAAGGCTATTCTTCTTTGCTCTACAGTACCAGCAAAGTTCACTCTCGGAGTATCTACTATCCTCTTAAGCCAATCTGAACCGAACAGAGCATGGACCCAATCCGACCCTAACAGTGTCTGGAAAGTTCCATCAATCACATACAAACGTAACTCTTTGAGAATGTCCCTATACTTAACTTCGACCAGGCAGCGTTTCATGGAAGTGCGAACGACTCGGTTATCTGCTAGAACTAACTGTTTATCTACACAATTCTCCAGATGACATCCAGTCAAATTCAACTTATCAAAGTTAGCTCTACTTATCAACGAAATAGACGATCCCGAATCTAGTTCCATGTCTAAATATCTACCATTAATCAGCACTTTCAAAAAAGGTTTATTAGAACTAGTGCTATAACCTAAGTCAGTAGAATTAACAGAAATATTAACACTTTCAGCGCATGTAAAATCAACAGAAATAGCATGCAATTCAGCAATATCAGCATTAGGTTTCACACTATCTATCGACTTACAGTTAATCTGGTGTAAATACTCGTACGGTGTAGAAGAGTTAACTGTAGGTTCGTTGGATGATGTTGGTTGCGTTGAATCTGATTCAGGTTCTGTACTGATGTGATGAGTTGGTGTACGCTGTTTCTTGTTGAGGCTAAAACAGTTCTTTTTGATATGACCGATTTTCTGACAATGTCTACAAACAGTCCTGCACTCGGCTGCTACATGACCGAACACTGTGCACTTGTTGCACTTCTTAGCATTTAAACGTCTCTGTGATTTCGAACTGGTACTCCTACTGGAATACTGATCAGACTCCCTTCGTGCCCCTCTCTGATTAGACACGTAATGTACAGCCGACATATTCTGTGCCACTGCCGATGAAGTCTGCTTCTCGATGGCTTTCGTGAGCGCATCCGCTGAGGTTTTAACCTCACTGTCATTGATCAATGATACCTTGATCCTCTCGTCTCTTAAACCACAAATGAATTTGTCTCTAACAATTCTATCAAATGCATCTCCATAGTCACAGTTTTGTGCAGTCAGTTTCACTCTACCCATATACACAGCAAGTTCCTCATCTGGTGATTGAGTTAAAGTGTTCAACTTGAATGATTCTGAGATAACTGATGGTCTCGGTGCTAAACTCTTCAAATTGTCCTTCAATGTTTTAAAAGAAGCCGCTGACATGGTTGTTGGAGCGATTGTTGCTTTTAGAAGTGAGTAGCTCTCTGGACCTAATGTGCTTATAAGGTACTTCTTTTTTGTTGTTTCATACTTGCTGGCATCGGTCTCTGCTATTAATCCTGGTTGGAGTGAAACCGTCGTCTCGAATCGCTCGATCCAATCATTTATTCCCTTTTGATTGCCTTGTATTCTTAGTGGTTCGATGAACCCGCTCGTCGCCATTATTATGTTGTTATTCAGTTAAACAATTAGTTAACCAGGGACATCCTGTAAAAGTAAAAGATTATAATATGAATACATAACAATAATACAACCGAGTCCGCCATGCCAAGACAACTTCTGGTTAAACAAAAGAAGCCTGTGGTTGCCGGGTATAACAGTGTCTGAGTGTTTAGACACCTTAGTTTCTTGGAGGGCTATAACATCCAAGTTGTATCTGTTGCAATCATTTGCAGCTAGATGCTGCGAGTGTTCCTGACTAATGCCTCTAACATTCCATGTGGCGAAGTGGAGAGATGCCACCGTGAAAAAACCGAACAAAACAAAGCTGAAGAGAAGAACTGTAGGCTTCTTGGAAGCGTCAGACGTTCTGGTCGTAATAGTTACTCCCATGCGTGCCCGTCACAGCAACACACCATCCTAATTATAAATACAAATAATGAAACTTAAAACTGAACTTATCAAAATCAAAAATTATGCACAAAATTGAACTTAAAACTGAAATTATCGAACTAATCAAATTCAAAATAAATTTCTCCACAATTTGCGGTTCGAGGCTAAATACCTTAAGTCTGTCAAGTCGTCACTATTATTCAAATTAATATTTCTTTTATTCAAATCGTCTAAAATAGTTTTAAAAATATTACATTGATGTCTACGTTTGCAGCTAGATCGGACTCTGCATGATAATGTATTAGCAAATTTGTACAGTGTATAATAGTTTAGTGTTTATGATACTCTGCAACCTGGTAGCACGGCTGACACAAAAACAAAATGTTGGCCTGGCTTGTGCATAACCAAGTAAATAGCACGCACTCCGATAAAAGCCGTCTGGAGAAACTCCGCAAAATGTTCATTGTAGTCAACGGGCACAAAGAAGCACTACTAGCAATTGTGTCCTTTACCCTCCTACATAATTTGAACATTTTTGTGGCTAACTCATTGAACAACATCTGAATTAAAATGTGTCTAGTATTAAAAGATTCAGTAAGTAATTTTTTCATGTACGCTGTACACTGTAGTTAGTAAATGCAAATCAAACTTTTTCGATCAGCCGCGCGCTGAACCAGTGTTGCACTAGGTAAAAATTGTGTATATTTTGTTCATTTTTGAGTGTAAATTAATTTATTAATTTATCACAAATTATTTTATTATAATATAACCACTTATGTGAAATGGTTATTTTGACTTTAAATATTTGAACTAAATATGAATTGATTGTGGGTATAAAATAAAATTTGTTTTACTAAAAAAAAATTTGTTTTACTCTACCAATCCTTCTCCTCATATTTAACATACTATTAACAGCAAAATTTAGAGCTAGTTGTGGTGGTGAGTTGCAGTCGCTACGAAGAATGTGCCCAAACATTTTCCAGCGGGATTTATGAACTCTCTCTGAAAGTGGAGTTACATTGCAACGAGCATACAAGTCCTTGTTGCTGATGATGCGGGGATAAGTCATGTTGATGATACGTCTTAGATGTTTGCGTTGACACACATCAACTTTATTGATAATGTTCTGTGGAGCTGCCCAGCTGTTACAGTTGTACAATAAAACAGGGGTAACAAATCCTTCATGCAGCTTGATTTTTACAGGAAGAGAAATGCGGGATTTCTCTGCCCATACCTTGCTGTATTTCTCAAAGGCAACGTAAGCAAGGATGCATCGGCGAGAGATATCAGCCTTACTGCAGAGCTTGGATCCAAGAGAAATAGTGTTGCGCCAGGGCTCTCTGTTCTTCACGGGTTCACCCTTGGCGTCTACCTCGTCCTTATCTGCAATGTAGAAGTGGACATGTTCTGTTTTGTCCTCATTCACAAACAGGTTCCATTCTTCAAGGATCTCCTTACATATGGGCAGCATTTCATTAAGAGTTTCCTCATCCTCGTCTGCAAAATCGCCATCGTCGGCGTATTCCCATTCAATAGGCATGAGGGTCTCGGGGTTAGGCCAAATGGTAATCACTACTGCACGGAAGTGGTACAAAGCTCCAGCAAAGTACAGTGTGAAGAAGGCACCAGATGCAGCATCACCTTGAACCCTCGGATGTTTCAAACTCTAAGGAAATGGTGTTGTTGATTTTTATCCTCAATTTGGTGTTGGAGAGCAAGTATCTCGCCAAACGAATGTCATCCTCACAACAACAGCATCAGCCAAAAGTTCCAGGATAACCGATCTCTTGATGGTATCGAAGGCCGAGCTCATGTCGATTCCCATCTTGTGGAACTCCCATCTCTTCTCTTTTACAACAGAAATCAGAATTCGTTGAGTCCAGACAATATTGGCACAACTATGACCAGCCTTGTAGGCATTTTGCCATGGTCCTGTGTACTCTGCAATTTGCCTTTGAATTCTGTGTAGAGTAATCAAGGAGAGCAGTTTCCTAGTTCCATTCAGAAGGCAAAGAGGTCTGAGGCTCTTTAGAGGTCCTTTTGGTTTCCCTGGCTTCTGAAGAGGGGTTAGAAACCCTTTCGTAAAAGAGGGTACATGCTCATGTACTTCAAATGATCGATTAATGAGACATGCATATTGCTGGAAGAATACAGGTGGTGCGTACTTCAGCAGCTCGTTAGGAATCTCATCAGGACCTACTGCTTTCCCATTTTTCAACTTTGAAGCAGCATATTGGACTTCTAAGGAAGTTATAGGAGTATTCAGAGGACGTGGGGGTCCAGTGAAAGGTACCAAAGGAGGGTCTGAGCTGGTGTAGTGATTTTTAAACCACTCTCTAATGATACTTGCTTTCTCATCGTCACTTGCAACTAGCTGATTTTCAGAGTTGAAGACAGATATTGGCTCTGACTCTTTGTTGGCAGCAAGAGCTCTGGTAGCCTCGAACATCCTCTTCGTGTCATCTGCAGCGTTGATGGTGTCAGCTAGTTGGTTGGCTAGAGCTGTCTCTAGCACTTTAAGACGTTTATTGATATCGTTCTTGAGTTTAATGATACGTTTTCTCAATACTGTCCTGTCTCTAACTGAATTGTCGTTCAGTTCTTGTAAAAGTTTGTGTCTCTCGTCAGACATATTACATACATGCTGATCTGATGAATGATGATGTCTTTGGGTTTTCTTCTTGACACCCACAGTGTTAGAGGCTGAAGACTTGATAGTTTCAAACAGCTGTTCGAATCCTGTCTTAGTGTCAGCGGAAGGTGGAAGACTGTCAATTTGCTGAGTGACAGTTTGCTGGTACTGATCTTGTAGTTCCTTGTTACAAACCAGCGATGTCGTGTTGTACCTTTTAGCAGCTGATGTTCTGTTTCGGTATAACTTATTTTGCTGCCTCAGGTCTATGGTAGCTTTTACAATCTTATGATCAGAATGTAGTTTAGCTCCTGCGTAGGCCCTTGCATCATTGAGAAAAACAGTGCTGCGTGACCGGCATAAAACATAATCAATCTGAGAAAAATAAGGGCAACTTCTTTTGGTCTTCTTGTCTTTCACCCAACCAGTTCTTGTGGTTATATGACGACTGGAATGACGAAATGCAGTGTTTGCAGCAAACAAACCATTAGAAACAAGAAAATCCAATAATCTCCCACCATTTTCATTTCGTCTTCCAACGCCATGCCTTCCAATGTTCTTATGAAGGCCATTTTGAAAGTCATGATCAGACCTTTTGCCAAGTTTGGCATTGAAATCTCCTAGGATCCAGATTTCATGTCTTGCAGGCACATTAATTGCTTCCTGAAGCTCACAGTAAAACTGGTCAGTAGCAGCCGGATTTGATAAAGTTTTTGGGTTGGTTGGACTGTAACAGTTCACGATTCGCATTTTGCATGGTGGTTTGTTAACAAACTTGGATGGAATAAAAAAGTCCATGAAAGCAACTCGATCACTGATCTGATGAAATGAACGGAAATAATGATTTACACGAGCGTTGATTAAGAAACCCAGTCCACCATGACGTCCTGTCTTCTGATCAAACAAAAGGAGGCGATGATTTCCTGGTAGTTTCTTATCCTCAAACTGACAACTCCTCCTAACTCCTCCTAACTCCTCCTAACTCCTCCTAACTCCTCCTAACTCCTCCTAACTCCTCCTAACTCCTCCTAACTCCTCCTAACTCCTCCTAACTCCTCCTAACTCCTCCTAACTCCTCCTAACTCCTCCTAGCTCCTCCTAGCTCCTCCTAGCTCCTCCTAACTCCTCCTAACTCCTCCTAACTCCTCCTAACTCCTCCTAACTCCTCCTAACTCCTCCTAACTCCTCCTAACTCCTCCTAACTCCTCCTAACTCCTCCTAACTCCTCCTAACTCCTCCTAACTCCTCCTAACTACTCCTAACTCCTCCTAACTCCTCCTAACTCCTCCTAACTCCTCCTAACTCCTCCTAACTCCTCCTAACTCCTCCTAACTCCTAATAACTCCTCCTAACTCCTCCTAACTCCTAATAACTCCTCCTAACTCCTCCTAACTCCTCCTAACTCCTCCAAACTCCTCCTAACTCCTCCTAACTCCTCCTAACTCCTCCTAACTCCTCCTAACTCCTCCTAACTCCTCCTAACTCCTCCTAACTCCTCCTAACTCCTCCTAACTCCTCCTAACTCCTCCGAACTCCTCCTAACTCCTCCTAATTCCTCCTTACTCCTCCTAACTCCTCCTAACTCCTCCTAACTCCTCCTAACTCCTCCTAACTCCTCCTAACTCCTCCTAAATCCTCCTAACTCCTCCTAACTCCTCCTGTCAGGACCAAACAGAGTCAGGACTCAGGACCAGAGAGAGAGAGTCAAGACTAGAGAGAGACAGAGTCAGGACCAGAGAGAGAGTCAAGACCAGAGAGAAAACTTGGTACCTAATCATGAATGTCATAGTTATTTATATTCGCAGCTATTTTTCCAAAAAGAATCCCCCAAAAATCTATGTGTATTTGGTGAATTTTTAATCTCCCCCTTTTAAAAAACAACTGCTACTTCATCCAGATCCCGTACCTATTGACAACCTTCATAGATTCTTTCCAAGTGATCTTTCTCTCTCCCAGTTGATCACATCACCCACCATAG